ATTAGGGATGATTAAGATCACCTAATAGGACCAGCTCAGAATGCACAATGAAAAAAATGAAAAGAAATTATTTTTTTTGGCTAGGAATTCTGAACCCGTGTAAATATCTAGATAAATTCTTACTCAGCTTCATACTTTAATTAGTATACTCCTGTGACATGTGTATATATGACTCACTAATCTCTTACAACATTTTCTCTATTATGGCATTTGAAGCATGTTCAAGAGAGTTCTATATGAAGAACCTGGTTCATCAATATGGGTTTATATGAAAGCTCATATATGTTTTCTATACTCTGCACAATTAGAAAGATTAATAATTCAACCATGAGCCTTGTCAAATTCTTAGAAAATTCTATCCATTGAGCATTGAACTAGTTACGTCCATCTAGAACTCTAAACCGTGATTTTTGTCTAATATCTAGGGAAGCCAAATCTATCATTAAAATTCTGGAATTTCAGTTTGATTAGACTTCTCTTTGACCCCTGAAAAAGCTGTCGTTACTTACTTAATGTCTATTTTGCTTTAAATACACACCACATCTCTAGTCTTCTTCATAATTCTAAAACAGTCAAAATTTACTCTCCAATTCTAATTGTCCTCTTCTCCAAAATTCTCAAATTCTCTCAAGAAACGAAGAATCATGTCTAACCCACAAGATCATCCTAGTAGTCCTCCACCACCGTCTACCTCAAATTCATCCTCATCTACTCCACCCAGTACATCTCCAAAACCTAGGTTTCGAAGACAAAAAATGCTTGCTCGAAAAACTGTAGCATCTGGGGCTCTGAGGAAGGTTTTAAATTAAAGTTTGAAAGCTAGCCAAGTGAAAGAAATCCCAGCTCCAAAGTCTGACTATAGCTCTGAGTCTGAATCCTTTCAATATGTGACTGAGGGAGATGGACATGGGCCTTCTGGCTTTGAAAAGACTCAAGAATCTCCTTCTGAGGTAAGTTCTTCTGTAGTTGAAAACTTAGAAACTAGGTTCGTTCGGTTGGACCCATTAGGGATGTTGAGTTGCCTGAAATGAGTAGGAGTGGAGGTAAAAAGAAGTTTGAAAAAGAAAAAAAGAGAGAGGGTGCATGTGGTGAAGATGGGGGAAAAGGGAAGGGAGCAGTTCTTGCTATTTGTGGGGTTGCACAAGATAGGTTAGATGAGAGTGGCGTGAATTCAGGGGGAAGTGGTTCTGGGGAAGCAGCTGAGGGGTTGGTTCATCTAAGCAAACAAAGAGATGAACCTGTTTCATCTACTGAAGAAACCTTGGCTGATCAACTAAAAAAGGTTGGAGCAACTTATGACCTAAAGAAACGCAAAGCTACTACAACAAAAACCCCAAATGTTCCCAATCCATCCAAGAAAAGAAAAGCTTCATCCCCAACAACTACTGCCTTTTAGTGCCTAGGGGTAGAGCCACAAGAAGTAGGGTAAAATAGAGTGAAGCTGATCTACAAAAGGCTTTAGAGGAAAGCAAGAAAAAGAAAAAGGATAAGGGAAAGGGAAAGGTTGCAGAATCCTCAGAGGCTGCTGAGGAAGAAGAGATGGAACTGGCCCATCAAGAGAGGGGTACAATAGTGGAGGTCCCTACACCCAAGCCTAAGAAACCCAAGACTTCCTCCAAGAAGTCATCCTCTATGCCTGTAGCTGCTGAACCCACACTAGCCAAGAGGACAAGATTTGTAGTGAAAGCTATACAAACCAAAGTTTCTGATGATGATGATGATGATGATTAGAGTGGAGAAGAAGAAGAAGATGATGAATCTGAGAAGGAACAGTATAAGCTTGCCATTTTTGGCAGAAGAAAAATCTTAAAAGGTAGATTGTTGAAGGACCTGGTGGAACCAGGGATGATGAGATTGGTAGACTCTTTGGCTGCTCAGGGATGGAAGGACATGGTCCTTCAGATGGAAGGTGGACTAGCTAGAAATGAGTTGATTGAATTTATGGAAAATGTTGCTATTAAGGATGGAGTTGTCAGTAGCCAGGTGAAGGGAGTTCAAGTGCAGTTTGATGCTGTGAAACTGGGAGAGATTCTAGACATACCCTCTAAAGGGTTTGATGACTATACTAGTCATAGGTGGCCATTCCTAGACTCCCTCCCCACTGCCCTTGAAATCATCAAAAGGTTCTGTGATTTAGAGAATGTGAATGAAGCCAGAGCTGTGCAGAAGAGTGAGATGAGGCCTCAGCACAAGGTGGTGTTTGAGTTTGTCAACAAGTGCTTATTGCCAAGACAGGAGAGAAGACACACTGTCAATTACATGGATCTGGTTCTTATGGAATGCCTGGAGAGAGGAAAGCAAATCAACTAGCCTGCCCTCATAGTCAAACTGCTAGACAGGGTCATAAATGGTTCCAAGGCTCATGCTACCCCATATGGCTTCATACTAACCACAGTTCTGGACAGGCTCAATGTGCCTCTGAAGAAATGGGAAATGGCCTAGAGCAAAGAACACTTTGGCATCAAAACTCTTCTTGCTTGTGACTATCCAGTCAATGCCATCCGAGTTGAACCTGGTTCATCCTTGAGGAAACCCATCAACAGCAAGGTTAGGAATTTGGTTCAGGAATGTGCAGTTAAGGATACTGAAATGGAAGCTGAGAGGGATGGTCTCAGAATTGAGCTTGCAAAAGAAAAGGAGAAGAATGATGGAATTCTCCAGAACATGTTGAATCTTCTCCAAACTCAACCATCCAGTTCCTCCAAGCCTTAGGACTCTTAGTTTCTGTCTCCTGAACTAGTTCTAGTACCCCCAGTGACCAAGATTAGGGATTTTTCTGTTTTTATTCATCGTTTAGATGTTTTTCTTTATTTTTGTGGGTTGTTAATGGCAACATATCACTCTCAATGACAAATGTTGTTTTCTCTTGTTCAATGATTATTCTGACCTTGATAGTTTAAATATGTTTGTTTGATTATTGATGATTGCACCATGATTGCACTTGCAATTGCCCCAGTAGCCATGAGTACTTATGAAAATCTGGAATTCACACTGTGAATGCAACTTTTCGATGATGCCAAAAGGGGGAAGAGATATTGTGCTTTACACATTATACTGAAATAAGTGATATTTATAACCTAATTAACCTGGTCCTTGATGAAAAGAAAATTTTCTAAGTTTAATATTGATGGTTAAGCTGAGTTCTTATAGGTTTTTTTATTAGTAAAAAGTACAGAGTTTGTCATCAGCAAAAAGGGGGAATTTGTTGGCCCAAGAATAGGTAAAGTTTGGAAGAATGACAAATGAACTCAGTCATGGACCAGGTCCATCTTGTGAAGCACTGTAGTGATCAACCTACACATGTGAGATGCATGTGAAGGAGATAAGTCCTACCGATCAAGCAGCAATATCTCCTGATCTGATCGAAAAGGTTGCATATTGGATAAGGAGAGAAAGTATCCTTATAGGAAGAGAACACAATCCGGATAAAAAGAGTGTTAGAGTTTTATATCTTCAAGGACTCAACTACGATGGAAGATCAGAAATTGAGTCCCAATCGAACTCTGACTTCTAACCTATTAAATGACAGTTTTTCCTTGAGTTAATCCTTAGGTTTACAAAGTGTTTTTGTAAATGTTGTTTTGGCTCAGTGATTTTAGTGGAAGTTTGGGAAAATCCTACTGAGTAGTAGGTCGTGGTTTTTTCACCTTTTGAGCCAGGTGTTTTCCACGTAAAAATCTCTGTGTTCTTTATTTTATGTACTCTTTATTCCGCAAATAATAGTAGTTAGAACACCTAGAAGAACTAGGTTCTTCTAGAACGAAAATTGGGTACCACAAAATCACCCCCTCCTCTTGTGTGGTATTGACGTTTAGAACATCAATTGAGCCCTCCAAAAAGGTTTGAGCTAAACAAGGGATCTAAAATGTATGTGCCTAAAGGGACCTACATGGCGCGGGGGTCAGTAATTTCACTAAAGCTGAATGAGCCCGTGGTTATTGGACATGCACCGCAATGGCCCATTACATATCCCACTGCCATTCCATGGAATTACAGCAATGCGGTAGTAACTTACAGGGGTAAAGAGATCTTGGGATAAGTTAAGGAAAATAACCCGGCTGAGAAATACCTCAATCTGGAGGAAATGAATAATGCCACAAAGAAGCGTTTCCCACACAAGAAGCCAATAAGTGTTGAATAAGCAGAAGAATTCTTCCAAAAAATGAAAATGACAGACTACGAGATAATTGACCAACTCCAGAAGTCTCCTGCTCAAGTCTCTTTGTTGTCTTTGCTAATGAATTCAACTGAACATCAAAAAGTGTTGATCAAAACTCTCAATGAAGCATACGTACCCATTGAAACCACAGTGGAACACCTAGAGAGGATGGTGGAAAGGTTTTTTTCAGTCAATCAAATCTCTTTCAGCAAGAATGATTTGCCCCGGAAGAGGCCGCCCACAACAAAGCCCTTCATCTGACAGTTAAATGCGAGGGGTATTATATGAAAAGGGTCATGCTAGATGGTGGTTCTAGGGTAGATATATGCCCTCTCTCAACTCTGCAACGAATGGAAATCGGTACTAAGAGAATCAGAACCAACAACGTCTGTGTGCGTGCTTTTGATGGTATCAAGAGAGATACAATAGGCGAGATTGATTTGATTCTGACTATCAACCCGGTGGAATTCGAGGTGACCTTTCAGGTCTTGGACATGGATACTTCTCATAATTTCCTCTTGGAAGACCTTGGATTCATGCAGCAGGGGTTGTACCTTCTACTCTACACCAGATGGTGAAATTCGAATATGAAGATCAGGAGATTGTAGTTCACGGAGAAGATGAGCAGTCGATCTACCAGGACTCGTCAGTCCCGTGTCTCGAAGCTAGAGAAGGAAGTGAACATATAGTCTATCAGGCTTTTGAGGTTGTGGTCGCGGACCAATGTGAAGAAAAAACCCTTGCCCTCAACCCTTTCTTTCAAATGTGTTAATTATGGTTGCCAAGGAAATGATCAGGCATGGTTACAAACCTGAGAAGGGGCTCGGTACGTCATTGCAAGGAATCGCCAAACCTATTACTCTGGTTGCTAGCAAGAATTTCTTTGGGGTAGGTTTCCAACCCACGCCAGATGATGAAAATGGGCGGATAAACGAAAGAATAATGGTTGGGTTTTGCCTCAGCCGATTTCGCATCTTTATAGAACATTTGTCAGGCCCAAGTACAATGAGGAAGAGGAAGATGAGGCCTTCACATCTAAAGAAATTGAAGAAATCTGTGGGGCTATGAGGCAGATGTTGTATGAAACCCACATGGTTTAGCCGGGAGAAGGTTCAAGCACTGCTGAGGTGCTTATATGGGGCCCAATGCCAAATTGCAAAATTGGAAGGCTACTCCATTCCCAATCAGGCGGGAATCCCGGTAGTCCAGTGCTACCACCTTTTCTGCATCACGAGTTATTTCAGGGTGCAACTCAGATGTTTTCTTTAGTTTCTTGTCTTTAATTTCCAATGTAAACCCTGCTATATTTAAATTTCAATGAAATAAAATCAATATTTCATCGTTCATCTCTCTTTATTCTTTCTGATTTTGTTATTTTTCTCTCTTATTTTTCCTTTCAGTTCAAATAATGCGGCTTTAAATAACATACATGCTTGCGGACTTCATACCCAGATCCAAACACGCTGTCTAATTGTGAAATAAAGAACCAAGAACCGGAATACGATGAAGAAGAGGCTTTTAGAGAAATAAATCGAGAATTGGAACAATTTGAGAATAAACCTAAGCCGAACTTAAATGATACCGAGCTGGTTAATTTGGGTAGTTCGGAAGAAGTCAAAGAAACCAAGATAAGCATTCACACAGATGAAAAAACCCGGGACGCATTGATCTAACTTTTGTTTGAATTCAAAGATATGTTTTCTTGGTCATACGATGACATGCCGGGACTAAGTGTCAATTTGGTGGTTCACAAGTAGCCAATCTACCCCGATTATCCCCATGTCCAGCAAAAGCAAAAAAAGTTCAAAATCGATATCAGTGACAAGATTATAGAAGAGGTCACAAAACAGTTGAAAGCGGGAGTGATCCGAGTGGTTCGATACACCACATGGTTTGCCAATGTAGTTCCAGTGCCAAAGAAAGATGGGAAAACTTGAGTGTGTGTGGACTACAGAGATCTGAACAAAGCAAGCCCCAAGGATAATTTCCCTTTACCGAACATCTACATACTTGTTGATAACTGCACAAAGCATGAAATACAGTCTTTCGTGGATTGTTATGCAGGATATCACGAGGTGTTGATGGATGAAGAGGATGTGAAAAAGACAGCTTTCACCACACCCTGGGACACCTACTGTTACAGGGTCATGCCTTTTGGTCTGAAGAATGTCGGGGTAACCTATATGAGGGCCATGAATGCCATTTTTTATGACATGATGCACCAAGAAATTGAGGTG